GTGAGTTCCTGATGTACAGAGACCTTGTTTTGAATTGTTTCTTACCACAGCACTTAGCAAAATAATAGGGCCTCAATATGTATTTGTGGAATATAGTCCTTTTTCCTTCTTTCCTCCCTCCATTTTTTCTTCCCTTCCTTCCTTCTTGCCTTTTCTTCTTTCTTTGTCTCTTTCCTTATTTCTTTCCTTCATTCCTTCCTTCCACAAGTATTTATTGAGGACCCACTCTGGACCAGGCACCATTGTGGGAACTGGAGATACAGCAGAGAACAAAACAAACCAAAGTCCCTTCTCTCATGGAGCTAGTATTCTAGTCAAGAGACATGTGCAATTAACAACTAAAGAAGTCTTAAGTATATCCAGTGATTTAAATGCCATGAAGAAAACTAAAGTAAGGAAAGGGGATAGGGAGGGATGATGTGAATGGGCTGCTCTTTTTTACACAAATGGGCAACTAGCTCACTGAACAAGTGGGACTTGTAAGTAGGTACAAACAGAAAACAAATCCGTTCTTCCTCTATCACTGCCTATCCACAGATATTTGGAGAGGCGAATTCTTTTTTATGCTCCTTGATAAAATACAGGACAATTGCCAGGACCTGTATGTCCACTCTCAGATAATACAAACATCTTCTGGCTACTTTTGTCCCAAGAGAAGTCTCACTGAGGTAAGTATAATCCCCAGTACCATGTAGTAGCCAAAACTTCATTTGAAATGAAAGACTCATTCCTGTCGTTTAGGTCAGCTTTGGCCTGGCATACCTCAGTGGGAAAAGCAGGCACAGTTGGCTTCTTCTCAACTGTCCCCCTTAAACTTCTTCCCTACTCCTCAATTCCCTCTGGCTTCTTGAGGGTTTAAGATGTGGGATACGAGGAAGGAGAGAGGCAAATGCAAGAAAGGTAGAAGTACACTCTTGTTTTGGTTTTCTCTGGGCATGTCTGATGTCTGATCCTCTCTGGCACTGATGGATGTTCAAAGCTGACTTTTTTAGAATGTTCTGTATTTGTTGAGATCCCTTCTGGAAACATTCAATGGTTATGTTCCATGACACAGGATGGCATTGTCTGGACTTAACTGTCCTGCCTCAGCCCCTGGGAATCCAGTCACTGTCCCTCCCATCCCTACATGAGAGGCTCTTGGGCAGGTTCTAAAATGGCTGTCATATTTCTCTTCTACATCTGATCCCCCAAAGCCACCTCTGGGCCTGAGTACTCAATAATCCTTGTCTCACCAATGATGTACATGTAGCTAGTTCCCCTCTTTCTGCTCTGCTGCTTTGGAAAGATCACCAGCGCCTCATATCTATAACTTCACTTAGGCACCCTTCCCCAGGCAGATGAGATTCGCAGTACGCCTTTTCCAAAGCCCTGTTTCTACTCTCAAACTCTTCTTTTGGTTTCTTGGATTTCAATCCTCTTATATCCTTCATGTGAGTACTGACCTAAGGGCACCATCTTCGAGGGTCTCACCTAAGTGGCCTAATATTTCACTTTGGCACATGGGACTATGGATTTGTTTGTGGCCTTTTGGAGTCTCAGCCAAAATAAAGACAAAGAAAGGCCTATTTAAAATCCTGTTACAAATAAACAATGCTCACATTAGCCCCAGTAGCAGCATTTAAGGGCAAGGAGAACTTCATACAGTGGAATAGAAATACTGATGGTCAAAAAAAAGCAACCACTCAGCAGCATTACTGCAAAAATCCAAAAATGCTAAGACATGTAGGAGAGGAAACAGATGGAATGGGGCTAGCTAGCATGTTTGTGGACATAATTCAGGAAACAAGACAGAGGTTATAGATAAGACATAAGAAACCAATGCCCCAACACACGCCCAAGCCAGAGCAAAAAAAAAAAGTCAGGTTCATTTTCTGCAAGGAGGATGCAGTGTTTGGGGGGTAAAAAGGCCGCTAGGCTGGGAGTGGAAACACTTGGCACTCCAAGAGACAGGTTGAGAGGTATTTAAGATCTTAGACTCTGGAACCAGAGGGTAAAAATAGATTTTAATTTTTAATGCACTTTCTTGCTGTTTGACTTTGAACAAGTGATCGAGCTTCACCTGGCCTCGGTTTCCTCATTTACACAATGTGGTCACTTAGAGTGCTAGCCTGAAGAGTTGTCCAGAGGATGAAATGAGGCACTGTTCATGTAACCATCTTATTGAATTGATCCTATCCCATCAGTAGGATGCAATCATGAAGCAACTTCATTTTAATCAAGCTGCCTCTTCCATCCATGGCTAGTTCTTCCTTTCGCTTAATGGAAACTTTATGCAAGTCCCATAACTTTTCTAGGCCCCTCAATCTTGAGAAGGATCTCATTTTAGTTATTAAATTTTCCAGTCCAGTGAAATCATCAAAATTGCTAACTGTATTAGATTTAAGCTTCTCACCTTCCCAGCTGGGTGCTGCTTTAGGCGTGGAATCCTGCAGCCGGTGGGCCTTGCTGTTTCACAAGTGTCAGACACCTGGACCCTAAGCCCTCTAAGTTCCAGGATACACATATTAATTTCTCTTATTTCCTTGAAACACCTCTCACCTGAGGAAGAAGGGACATGCATCCCACAATGAAATAAATCCTTGAACTCTAGTCTTCACGGACATAATCACTCATACTGGCCTAACCTAGTTTAGAATATCTTAGCAGGTCCTGCCTGGATGGTCTAGCATCTTGCTTTAGGATGTGTGTTTTTCACCAACTATTGAGAGTATTCTAGTATTTAGGTCTCTATCAAAACTCTGTGGCAAGAAGAAGAACTCAACCATCCTTCTGCTACATCTAACATCACACCTGACATATGAAAATATGAAGTCTCTGTGTATCCCCCTCTTTTTAATTCCTGGGACCTTGGGTGAATCATTTAAGATCAGTGGGTCTGGGTTTAGAACTGGAATAATAATATCTTTCTTGTCAATTTTATAACTTTGTTGAGAAGTGCAAGAAACAAGATGGGTAAACAAGTGCTTTATACACAAAAAGTCTAGAAAAATGTAACTTACTCTTAGGATAGAGAATAGCAATTTTGTCAGAAATAGTTGACCCCTTGATCTATTTTCATTCCTATCTAATATATCTGTAAACCTGGAACAATAAGGAAAGATTTCAATGACCACGAACAAAAGTCACAGAGAAGGCAAATATTATCTTATTTCTACAACCTCTATTAGACCTGAGTCTTGACTGCTGTAATGTGTATAATGTACAGAATGAAAGTTTGAGGTTCCTCCATCTCACAGTTCACTTCATCTAACTTCCTCCTATAACCCAGAGACCAAGAACATTTTCCTTTGGAACTCAAAAATAAGTGTTTTTTTTTTATTTTTTTTTATAGATTTTATTTATTTATTTGAGAGAGAGAATGAGATAGAGAGAGAGCACGAGAGGGAAGAGGGTCAGAGGGAGAAGCAGACTCCCCGCTAAGCAGGGAGCCCGATGTGGGACTCGATCCTGGGACTCCAGGATCATGACCTGAGCCAAAGGCAGTCGCTTAACCAACTGAGCCACCCAGGCGCCCAATAAGTGTTTTTTTTTAAGAGTCAAAGATGCTACGTGCATGCCAGGAAATGTGTGCTTTGCCTCACTTGCTCTTGTCCTGACCACACAGCCCCATGGCTCAAGAAAGCAAGGCCAAGCTGGGTTTGGTGGGGCAGGGCAGAGTGGCTACCAACAGAACTGAGCACCAGACTTGGGAACCCCTCCATGCGCTGGCTAGTGACCAAAAAGGCAGCCTGGTGTAGAGGCAAGAGGCCAATGTGGAAACTGAGGAAACCATCAGAATGCCCTTGAGATTTGAGCTGTAGGGCAAAAAGACACTGAGCAGCACAAAATCAGGACGTCAATGAGACACTGGTGTGTGTGTGTGTGTGTGTGTGTGTGTGTGTGTAAGAGAGAGAAAGAGAGGAGGGGGGAGGATGTCTTGCTTTAGAGATGTCTTGGTTCCTGTAAGTGTCCTTGATTCCATTTCCAGGCAGCTGCATCTTTATAATAAATGTCCATTTTTCTGGCTATCCTTATTATTCTCTATCCATTGTTAACTATAAAAGGCAGGAAGAAACAAGCATGAGCCCTGCCAGGCTAATTCATTCCCATCACCCTGGAGAACTGAGAATCTTCTAGACCCATGTCCAACATAGAATTATGGATCTTCCTTGGCTTGCTCTATTTCAAAATGGCCCTGCCTTTGGGGGCAGAGTGTGATACAAACCTAGTCTTCTCAACACATTTGCACCTGCCCTAGTCAAATTACCAGCTCTTCAGCCCAAAAGTCATCCCATAAGGCCGAACTGAGTCTTCAAAGAGCCCAAAGTTCTTGACACTGTAGGACACAAGATTTGGGGGTCTCTGGAGAGGTGAGCTCCCGCCTTACACCAATTGGGCAGGCACCTAAATAGCCAAGGAGTAACCCATTCATGACACTTCAAACAGGAAGTACTCGTGCAATGAATATTCCTTTTGGAACTGGGTCATACAAAAGTTAGGAGAATAATACTAGCGTGTTTTAATAACTCACAACTCTACTGCCTTACGACAAATACAAAGGACTTGAGATCAAAGAAATGGATTCAAAGTCACACTCTTCAACTCCCTAACTGGGGACTTTAAGTCACTTAACCTCTAGGAGTTTCTCCTCCTCTATAAAATAGAGAGAATACCACCTACGTTACAGGGTTATTGTGAAGATTAAAGGAGTCATGGAACAAAATGCTGTGGCTGCAGCAACAGCATCATAACAGCATGGATGATATCTTGAGCACTTGCTATGTGCCAGGCACTGAGTCAACCACTTTATTTGCTTTAGCTCATTTAATTTCTCCAACAACCTTATGACATGTGCACATTTTACAGGCAACATCATTGAAGCATCCAGTGACTAAGTCACCTGCCTAAGTACCCAACACAGCATGGAAGGGTGGCACCAACAAAGAGCTCCTCCCTTTATTTTTCCACGTTTCACTAGGAAGAAGATTCAAGATCTAAAGAAATCAGCAGCAACTACTTACTGGGGGTTCATCAGTTCCAAGTCGCCAATATGTTGAATTATACAGTTTTTTTATGTTTTCAGGACCCTCTATATCATAATCTTTTGGATAGGCTTCTCGGTCATGGTGCCTTGAAAAATAAATTAGAATCTGTTAAGGGGTTTAGCTTTTTTTTTTTTTTTATCATGTATTGCATTTAAAATTTTCAAAAAAATTATCCAATGAAAATTGATGGCATTTGTGACATTGTTTTAATTATTAATTCAGTGGATGTGGGATATATAAAGTATTTTCCATCTCTTTTCAAGTAACGCTGAGGCTACTTCCTAAAAACAACTTAGCACATGTGATAAAACTAATAATATCATAAGAACAATACTTATCCAACACAGCAATTACTCAGTGACTCCAAAGAAGTGAACTTTATTTAATAATGTACGTTAGTTACCAAAAGTAAATTCTAAAATAAGACATGGTAATAAATTAGAAAGGCAACTTGCCACTTTAGCAATTTTTTCTACCATGAATTTTAATTAAAAGTTTTTTTCAAAATGAGAACGAGCAAAGTATCTGCTCATATGGATTTATAACATGTGCTTCCTGCTTCTAAAGAGGGTTTAAAGGAAGCTGACAATTAAGCATAAGCTGGAAAAAAACATGTAGATGGAAGAGGGAAAAATATTCCAAATATCTTGACTAAAAGGGTAGACAGAAACAATAATAAAGGAGAGATTTGGGAGGAGGGGAGGAAGAAGGAGGTGGAGCGGCCTGCAGCGGAAGCAGCTATTTTTACATAGCTTTCTTGGATAAGATAAAGGAAGCTGAACCCAACCATCCCTCCGAAGGGGCCTTGCTATTGAGGGATACAGGGCTAGGATTGTGTAAGGGATACTGAGGTAGCCCAAAATTCATCCATCCATCCACCCATCCAATTGTCCGTTCATTCAGTCAATATTTTAAGTACCTACTACATGCCAGGCAGGGAATGCAATGGGGACCAAGCCTGATGCAGTCCCTGCCTTCATTGCTCACACCCTGGTGACAAAATTCTACAATGTGGGCACAGGGTCATGGAAGCAGAACAGCACCCACTCATCTGGATGGGGCATGCTAATCTAAATCAGGAGGCCCTTTAGGACCTGACCCCCCCCCCACCTCATCCCACTCTTTTGGGGCTGGGACCCTGCACTGCATTCAGAGTATACCCTTGCCTCTCCACCTCTGAGATGAGAGCAGAACACTGCATAGAACACAGGAAGGGAGCCTAGGATGGAGCATCAGAGCTCAGGCATGTGAACCCTCTGCCCTCCTCATGTCTGAGCATTAAATTGCAAAACACTAAAAGCATTTTGGTGCCATATCAGCATTTTCCGAGAGCCTCACAGGAAGGTCTCACTTTAGTCCTTAGGTGGAATACTGAACAACATCAAGAACCAGGAGTGGTAGAGTGAATGGGGCCATGGGTTTGAGTTATTGCTCAAGTCCTAGCTGTGTGACTTTGGGCAATTCACTTAACCTTTCTGTGTTTCCATTTCCACATGTATAAAATGAGGACAGAAATAAGACCAATAAGATTTTTGCAAAGTGAAAAAAATAAAAGCAGAAGGTCCTTCAAATACTGTAAAGTATCATTAACACCTATGTATAATGAATACCAATCCAGCTTTAAAAAATTCTGGCGTACATGAATTGCAACTTTATTTTTTCCATAATTGTACTTAATTTATTTTCTAAGTGTTCATATCACTAAGATGGAGAAACCTTAATCTTGGTCAATTCTGGATCTCTTCCCACTCTCAAGGGCCTGTGTGGTGCCACAATGCCAAGAATCTATCTTTGTTGCCATCATCTCTCCCTGCTGACATCGGTGGAAATCTCCTCATTCTCCTGTGGTCTTCCATTATGGATCCATGCAAATCTCTGCTATGCCCTTCTGGTCCTGACACATAGACTCTTGCTTAGACTAGCACTCTGCCACAAGCGTGCCATTATCTAAGCCACCAAGAACTTTCATGAGCCATCAAGAACCCAGAGTTCCTGGAAAACAGATGCCATCCCTGAGCTGTTTGCCTGGCCCCTCAAGAAGATTTCATGTCCCCCTCACACTGGGCTTGGGGGATACAAACAAGCCCCACAGTTCAACAGCTCCGAAATCATTTCCCTAGGAATGGAGGGCTAGGCAATGATAGGTCCCATCTGCTTGAGAATTTCTAAAGCCTTAACCTTTCCAATTTGGGGTCCCAGACAAACCCACACATTTTCAACTTCTCTGGGGCCCTCCATCTTCGGTCCATGAACTCTTCATCTGCCATGGGACAGGATAGCCAGCTCTTCAACTATTCTTCCAAATCTATGGTGTCATCCTAAGATCCAAGTTTTTGAACCCCAAACCCAAGAATTTCGTGTTTTTGTTGCCTGCTGGGTCTTTCTTCCCGGAGGCAATAAAACCAGAGTAACTCCCTGGGAGCATAAGAATGAACAGGAAAAGCACAGTCAGCCTCTGAATGTGTAATCCTAATGCTCATTTCTTCACTAGTGACCATGCACAGTGCCCAGGGTACAGAGTGTTTTAAAACATGAGAGTGTTGGGCGCCTGGGTGGCTCAGTTGGTTAAGGGATTGCCTTCGGCTCAGGTCATGATCCCGGAGTCCTGGAATCGAGTCCCACATCAGGCTCCCGGCTCAGCAGGGAGCCTGCTTCTCCCTCTGACCCTTTCCCCTCTCATGCTGTTTCTCTCTCTCTCTCTCTCTCAAATAAATAAATAAAATCTTTTAAAAATAAATAAATAAATAAAACATGAGAGTGTCTTTTAACTATTTTTTAATCAGCAAAAAAAGAATATAATCCATCTTTGATTATATCCATCTTTATAACAGTGTAGTTATAAACTATCATTTTTAACTTTTTTTAATGGAGTAAGGAGCCCATGAAGGCAAAGATAATTAGTGTCCATGAAAGTCAGAATGTACTATAAATTTTAAGTTGTATTATAACTAGATTATTACAAAAGATGCAGATATGTTCCTTTACTTAGAGCAGTCTCTATACTAAAAGTCCAGCACTGAAAACATGAATCTATAATGAAAGACTTTCTGTGGAGAACTGAGCTAATACAGTTGGCATCCCCTAATGCCTGCCAGTTGCCCACAAATGTTGTGCCCACAGTCTGCAGGCCCTGAGAAATACACAGCTAAAGAAGAGTCGCCCCGACTTCTAAGAGACTGCCAGCCTGGCAAAGAGAAATAAACATGTTTAAAAATTATAAAGTATATAAAATATAATATAAAATATAAAAAATAAATATTTACTATATACTAAATACATGTTTAATATGTATAAAATACAGTAAAAGTGATTAGGGTATTATAAAGAAAATGTCAGACTTAATTAATTCCTTGATTTTATTATGTCAGGTGAACACTGGCTTGTGCCTCAGTTTCCCTGAGATAAACTGAGAATCATACACTGAGGAAACAAATGAATCAATGGATTGAGAGTCTCAAGTGAAAAGTGACATGTAAATGCAAAATATTATTATGTGTACTAATACTATGTCTATCTACCATATGCTTTAGTTGGGTGTTTTTCAATACTTTGTTAATGCCAACTAAACCTTATAGCATCTTCATGAGACATATATCAAGGTATTGTAATATATAATAAAGTAAAATATAAATAAATACATATATACTTTCTATAGCCTTGTTCTCCTTGCTACCTGCATTTATTAATGGTCACTATACAACCGGCCATAACCTGTCATTTATTGCAAGAGAAATTCATTATGAGAAAATAATAAAATAAAAATTATAATAAAATAAAATTTACAATGTCTCTCGAGCAGTAACTTTCAAACATTTTGAGCACAGCCCCCACCAAATCCACCCCAACCCATCTTGAGACACTGGCCAATGTCTGAAGACATTTTTAGTTGTTGCATCAGGGTGGGGTGGGTTGTTACTGGTATCCAGTGGGTAGAGGCCAGTGATGTTACTAAACATCCTATCATGCACAGAAAAACCCACCCCCATAACAAAGAAATATCTGGCTCAAAATGTCAAAAGTGTCAAGGTTAAGAAAGCTCCAGGGTACAGTTATACCAGACTCTTAGATCAGTGGTTCCCAAACGTGTTTCATGGAGCAGCAAAACATCCCCCCAAATCTGTAGAACCAACATAAAATTGCCAACTTCCGTTTTGACAGAAACATTAAAAATGAAAAATCATCTACTGCCTTTAATAGGAAGACCTCTAACACCAAAGATAAGGAAAAACAATCTCAGAGTCCTTTAAACCAAATAAATTTAGCTATACAAAAAACTTGCCAAATTGTCTTCACAGTTAGTCTTATCACCTTGGATTAGTAATAAGGTCATTGTTGACCAGTACTGGTCTAGTCTACTGACTGGCTTCTGCAGATATTAATTTGTCCAGACATGAATTTGACAGCAGCTGGTCAGCAGTCAGTTCAAGCTCAAAGATGCTTGAATACAGGTATTTCGTGCTGCTGACTGAAGGAAGAACTATGTCTTCCATGTCAAGCATGCAGGTACTGGCTGACCTTCTTGCCGGGAGAAGGGTCCACAGGGCTCCCTGCCTTCAGTGCCAGAATCTTCCTTGACAAGCAGCCTTGTTTCTGCTTAGGACCTTGCTCCATCAAGGCCAGAGCTGAGGGCTGTGACTCTTTCTCTATACAAGAAATCTTTATGTAAGACAACCTCAACTATAAGAGATGAAGCTTGCATTCTATACCCTCTTGTGGAAGAGACAGTATGAATAGGAACAGAATCGGGAATGGGGAAAGCACCGAGAGGACAGGATCAGAGCTGCCAACCGTATGAAAAGGAGCTTGGAACTATGACCCTGTTTTCAAAAATGCCACTTAGACTGCTTCAGAGGGGATTAAGGTCAATACAACCCAGTAGGTTAAAGACAGCATGATTAGGTCCCATTCTGGACAAATGCCCAACATATGCAGTCGGTATGTAACTTCCCATCACCAACTCTATATAATCACCTGAACCCTTGAGATCCTGTTCTTCCTATCTTTTCAGGCCTAATGTTGTCCCAAGTAATGCCCTGTCAAGAGACCAGGGTCTGTTTCTGGGGTCCCTTGGGAGCTTGGATTTCC